CAGTATCTCCCTGATGTTCCTGGTAGACAAATGCACTCCAAACGTCCTTTGTTGTCCAGCCAACATGTTCCTCTATTTAGGCAGATATTGGGTGGGCAGAAGTTTGATCTGAGATCTGGGTCGATACTAGTACTTGGCGTGGGAGGTGGAGAGTCATTGTCGGTTTCCGTAGAAGGGTTATCACTAGGTTTGGCAGGGAGGACTGCTTGAGTGGTACTTGGTAAACTGGTGACTGGGGCTGGCGGTACTGCAGTGGTCTTTACTGTGCGAGTCGTAACAGTTGTGGTAATCGGACATCCGAATTCTCGGTGCGCAAGTCTCTCCAGCACCTTCCCGGAATTGAAAGGAGGAAAGTGGCAGCGTGTCTCTTCCGTCCTACCCAACTGAATTTCCTTGATTCGCAGCCAACTAGGAAACCAAGCGAGATTGCAAAGGCAGTTGAAAGGGTTTTCCGCAACGGTCAGCCTTTGTAGGTGAGGAAAGAGCTGGGTTAAAGTCTCTGGCAACCCTTGCAAGCTTAGATTGCTGATATCCAGCTCCTGAAGCTCTGAGAGTTTCTCAAAGTATTCCCATTTCACAGGTCCCATGGGATTCCCAGCCAAACTCAGAGTAACCAAGCCCCTTGCCTCCCGCAAAACCCCTGGAAAGGTTGTTAACTGGTTGTTGGAGATGTCAAGCTCATGGAGGTTCTTGAAGCTTCCCAAGAGCTCCTCGTTCAGACTGCTAAGCCCCAGCCCACCCAGTTTCAGTGACTCCAACTTGGGTGTCTGGAGGTCATTTGGCCCTGGCGATGGGATGCTGTTGAACCGTAAGTCTAGCAGAAGCAGATGGCGCATTTTCAGGGCAGGCATTATTGTCAGTTTGTTACCTTGCAGCTTGAGCTCCAGAAGTTGCTGTAGGCCATCAAAAGCAGCAGGATGGATGCTCTCTATGAGGTTGCTGTAGAGATATAGCCTCTCCAGATGTTCTAGTCCAGCAAAGCTGTCTTTGGATATATGGACGATCTGGTTAGCCGACAGGTCCAGGTTCTGGAGAGAGGATAAGGGTTCAAACACACGATCTGGCAGTTCAATCAACTTATTCTGGCTTAGATCCAGCATCTCCAGGCTTTCCAACTCAAGAAAATCCTCTTGGGAAAGGGACTCAATGCCGTTCTTGAACACATAGAGATTCTTAGTCGTTGTGGGTACTTCGTTGGGCATTTTAGTGTCTTTGCGGCTAAAGCAGAAAATGGAGTCTTGGACTTGGCAGGTACAGTCCTTCGGACAGGTGTCGGCCAATGCCGGGGACCACAAGTGTTGATAGAAGAGGAGGGGCAGCAGTAGAGGGAGGAAGAGCTTCATGTTGCTACTGACAATCACCCCTACAAGCCTGCAATGCAACAAGAAAACCAAGTAAACATTTGCACAATCAACTTCACATTGTATTTTTTACTTTAAAACATGTTTAAACATACACCTGTCTTGAACTTTGACAAAGTTTAGAAATGGCATGAATCAACGATTCAAGCTCTAAAGTAAATTGATAAACTTGATAAAGTTACTCTTTTGTTTGTTTTTTTCCCCTTAGCAAATTCAGGGCATACTGCAATACATGCCATGGTGTTTATTTCTCTGCTTGAGTCTATGAGGTCAGCCTTTTTATGTGGCTGAATAAAAGGCTTGCTTTAGACCAAGTGCTTTCAAAGGGTGATCAAAGGCGAGGTCTCTTGACATGGTTGTACTCAAACAATAGGTAGTGGTAGTGACGTACAGGCCTGCTGGAACCTTATACTGGACTTAAAAGTGACGTTGACCTTATTATTTTTTAAATAAAAAAACAGCATTTTATAATTTGATAATGCTATTTTATGTAAACTTTAGCAGATTTTGAAATGATACTCCATTTTCCATAATGTTATGATGCTTAAATTAACATGTAGCATTTAAAACAGTTGATTCGAATTGTGGTACTTGGACTCAGGACTTGGACTCAGACTGCAATTGTGAATGAGCTTGGACTAGGACATTTTGAATGCAGAAATTTTTCAGAGTACAGACGAATCCATGTCATGTGTAACAAAAAAGCTAAAAAAAAGTAATAACAAAAATAAGTTAAAAAGACTAATAAATGTCTCCCACTTAAACTCAACTGGTTAAAAACAAGGACTCGACTCAGACTCGACAGGGTGGACTCGGATCCAACACTACAATTGACTGTAGTTTTTAGTGTTTAATTTTGAATTTATTTTAAACAAAATAGTATAATATTTTAATTAGTGCATCTCTAATTGCAGCTGTTTGCTGGACATTTAGTTCCATCATTGTTTACAGCACACATACTGAATCATTGTTGCACATAGTGGCCTTAGAGAGTCTTTTTGGGAGTGATTTGTACACTTTGTGTCTTTCTGCAAACATTCAGTCATTTTATATTCATTAGTTTCATATTAAAATCCAGAGATGCACTGGTACGCGCCAAGGCCGTCTCAAATTTTACAAAGGGTTTGACCTTGAACACCAGACACAGAGCTCATCAGATGAGCTCAGACACCTTTGGGGAGGAACGTGAGAGTCGGGGAGGAGAGCGAGAACAAGAAAGATAAAGGGCTATGAATCTGGGAGACTGAAGTGAGCTGGGGAAACGGTTTATCATCTGCTGTGAGATCAGTCGCAGCCGGCCTTGAAAGGAGGGGTGGAGATGTTTCGTTCTCCCTCATGATTTTCCTTCTTCTGTTTCTCTCTGGGACAGTGTGGGGGGGTTTTATATTAGAAGTTCATGCTGAGGTGAAGTTCCCTCACTCGGTTTTATTGAATAGTACAGAGAGATAGTAGGATCATTATGTTCCCTCCTGCTGCATTATTGAAGCATCACTCTCATTGCCCGGCTGCTGATCCCTGTGTTGTTCTGCAGTTATTTACAATAGGAAATATCTCAGAATCCAGTTAGCTTTTTTAGGCGTATTTTATTCTGTGTTGGCTGAAAGAAAGTTGCTAGTAGTCTTGTGAGGTCAGTGCAAGTTTCTAAAGATCTTTTCAATAATGTCTGGATATTTTTAATTATATTGCAAGGTGCATTCTTGCTGAAAGCGACTGGAAATCATGCATTTTCAATGAGAGTGGGCTCTTTGATGTGACATTAACGACATTGACTATTTGCGGTGTTATTTTAGTATTATTCACAAGCAATTAGCTTTTTTTCGGTTTTCATTTTAATTTTATGTTTTAGTCATTTTGTTATGGGCTTTGCATTTTTTTAATAGTTTTAAATATTTAAAAAATATTTATTATATTATTATAATATTACAATATTTCACCTTTTATATGTCCTAATATTTAAATAAATATATTTTTAAGTTGTTTTAAATAGTTTCAGGGTCATTACAGTTAACTTAAACCATACAAATTGTTTTGTTGCTATAAATAAATGAATTTTTTAAATAGAATAAAATATTTAAAAAAACTTAAACTTAATTTATGTCAGCTATGTGCCAAGGCAACATTTCTTACTTTAATTTAGTTTAACTTAATGTACTAAAATAACTTAAACTAAAACTGGAATAAAAATGAATGAAACAAATATATGGACATAAAAAAAACACCCTAAAACTAATAAAAAAAGAGCAAAAACAGACAACAGAATGACTCAAACTGTAACCAAAATTAAAATGAAAACAAAATTATAGTTTTTATTAATATTTTAATTCATTTTTGTTGTAATATAGTATCTCAATAATAAATGTATTTATTAAAAAAAAACAGTGATACAATGAACTATTTTTGTACATTTTCTTTGTTTTAACTGTGATGCCAACACAATACAACCGGACTCAACCAAACCTCACAATACCAGTTAGTATGTGTTGAGGAAACTGTAATCCTCACGTCACCACCGTCAGCAACACATGGTTTCTTAAGTTCAGCCAGGGACAGTCAACCCGAGAGAGAGATGATTTGCTTGTCTTTTGTCTTTTTTTCTCTCTCTGTCTAAAAAGCTTTGGAGCAGGTTTAGACATTCCTGCTGCTCCGTCCCATTGACTTGCTGATTGTGATGCAAGCGTCTGTCTTTTGACACTGGGTTTAGTCGACGCTCAGTGCAAATAAGGCAGAAAAAAAAGCTCCGGCCCGCAGCCAAGCACATGCATATTTTAATGAAATATGTGGCTCATTACGTGTGTGCTGTTTGGTCCGACTGCCTTTTTTCCTATTTAATGAAACTTTTTCTCAACACAAAAGCAAAAAAAATGTGTCTGAAATGTCAGTACTTGGAAGGAAGATCACATAAGGTTCAGAAGGGCATGAAAGAAATGTTTTGTTATGTTCGGGCACTGATATCGATTCGCTGACGTGTTTAGGCACCGTATACCTGTTGTTCTTAGAATCAACAAGATCTTACAACAAGGGTGAGTGAAAGAGTAACACATGCACCGTTCCCTTCACCCAAAGCTCTCCATTCAGTGATGCATGGCGCTTTACAGTCCGTGAGAGCTGATTAGCTGTTTTACTGGAGGCAGGGATGGGAAAAAAACACCAAGGCCTTCCAGATAACCCGATAACAGGTGGAGCGCAGTGCTTTATGGGCAGTTAATCATGAGGGGGTCGTAGATCGGCCCTGTCCCATGGTGTCTGGATCTCAGAGTACCGTGGGAATGTCCTCAATTGAATTTGTGCGATATGAGAGATGGACCAAATAAATGAAGGAAGCAGAATTTTTTTTTTTTTTTTGAGCTATGAGGATAATGAACAACCGCAGTCCTTCATAGAAAGATCAGAGGGCAGTTTCACTCCATCTTGTAGGTAGCACACAATTTCTAATTATGCAATCATTATGTAGTTGCTGATACCTAATTCTAGTATTATTTTGTTTGGTTTTTAACTATTTTTATAGGATAGTCTAACTGTAGTTTAACCACTCTAGCTTGTAGCTTGTGAAGCAGCAGCAGAATCCGGCAGAAAGATGAGGCTCGTAGCAGGCCAGGTATGAAGATAAAGCTGTTGCCTGAACTTTTTAAAATTTTGGCTGATATTTATCATAGTGCGCATCAATCAAAAACATCAGAAGACACAATCTAGTCAGCCGGCAGACGCATGCAGTGGGAGTTGAGTCTGATCTCTGATCAAACCCCGTCCAGCACACACAGATACTCCATCTCCTCCTTCCCTCCAGCGGCTGCGTCTTATCAAGCAGCAGATGAGAAAACAGCTCTCAGGGCTTACAGTAAAGCTCTGCTCTGAGTGACTCTCATGCTGGGTGGCTTTAAGTCAAGTGCCTCTGTGCTGGAGACAGACAGAGCGGCTCATTCGAAATTATATAAACATGAGGTGTTTTCCCATTACTAAGCATATTTCATTTTGTGGAGACTATGATAGTTTTATGTCAGAAAAATTCCAACTAGCTGAAAATATGCACATCCTTACTAATGACTGACTGTGAAGATCTCTCTACATCTTTTTCAGTTCCCCTTTTCGCCATCAAATGTGTCGTTCGAGCGGCTGGTGCTTTGCATATCCCCACATGGAGCCTTTCATTCAAAGAAATGTATTTGCCATTGAAAATGTGTTGATAAAAGCTGGTGATAAGGACATTGTTGCGTAAGGCTTTTTAGCAGACAAAAACAAAAGCACGAAAGAAAAGTTGCCGGGAAAGGAAAAGTCTTGTGTTTCATTGTCGTTTCGTGATCTGAAAGCAGTGAAAACAGCTGCGAGAAATGAGCGGAGAGGAATGGCTGTCAGCAGGGGCCGTGGAGGTGGAGGTGACCGATGCCAGGAGCCAAGAGAGTGAAGTGGGCTGAAACAATCAGAGCTCCAGCAGACCCTCGTCAAGAGCTCTTATCTGCAGAACAGACTCGTGCACTCTGAAGCAGGACAGAGAAGGCCGAGTTATGACGTGTGATCAGGAAGTTAGGCAGGAGTTGTGGAGGTGTGTGTCGAGGGCCTCATGTCAGAACTGAATGTTACAGCAGCCAGGGTCCTAAATACTACAAATACGAGAAAAAAAGGAGAAAATATTGGCTGTAGGGAACAAAATGTAGTTGGTCTGT